ACTCTTTCACATGCAGAAGATATTGTCTGTTTTCAGAGATTTTTTTTTTTCTTTTAAACAAGCCTAAGCAGACTGAAAGTTAAGCTTGGCTCTTACGCAACTAAAGCCTGGGCACACACATCGATGCTGGCCACAACACAGCCCGAGGCTCACTATAAATCATACCAGGGATTTCTGACGCAACCGCTCATCGTAACCATATTCCAGCATTGCAGAATAACACAACGCGCATATTGTACCTTGATCAAATATTTTTCCCATCTGTCTGCTGTGACAGACTTCCCAATCTTTCTCATCAGTTTCAAGTGAAGCTCCACCAATTCTTTTGGAACTGCAGCATTGAGAGAGAGAGACAAAAAAAAAAAGAAGTTATGAAGACTAGTGCAAATATAGTTCAATGCTAAACACCGATAACACTGAAATACTGTGATAAACTGAGAAAATTTAATAAAATATGGTAACTTAAAGTCTGCTGAAGAGCAGCCCCAGAACTGAGACATGGAGGAAGGTTAATTTAATTGCATAGGTCTTTTTATTTAGATGATCACTGAGCTGCCTTAAACTCAAAGAAAAAGACCTCAGTGATAAATATGTAAAAATTTTGGCAGCATTAAAACAACAGCTGGACAGGAACTACTCCAGTCAAACACCTACAAAAATACTACTGTGAGCAACACACCTGCAGCTGCCTCCACAAACCCCAAAGCAACCTTCTGCACCACGCCTGGAACATCGCTGAACCCAATCTTTTTTTTTTTTTTTTTTTTTTAGCTCATGCGTGGTACAGGAGAAACGTTCCAGAAACTTTGTCCTCACAGATGTAGCTTTACTATATACTTACTCTCTTTTGTACTGCAGGGACAAAGAGGGATGGACTCGAGGTCTGGGGCTTGAGGGATGGAGGCCAGAACTGCTGCTGAGTACAGCTGCACCAGTGAGATTGCAGAATCAAAGTTTTCCAATCAAATTTTACTTATCTCTTAGCATACACTCCTCAGATACAACTTCAACATCTTGTCTTAGCTCACATAGGTGATTTATAAATCAATCTGGCACCACCAAGTGGTAAATTTGCAGAACATCAATTTTATAAGCTAGAGAGTAGTATAGCTTTTTAAAAATATGTACCTGGTAATTATTAATGAAACTATACACACCTAGCGGTATGGGCATTCTTATTTGTCATTTGTTGGGAAAAACTTAAAGAAATGAACTTTTCAAATATTTTTAGTTCTATACTCTTTCCATACAATTTTATTTTCTGAAAGCACTTTCATTACTCCATGCACACGCGCTTTAAAAGTTTAAAACCCAAGAATGTTTATGATCATAATTTATGATTGCAGATTTTCTGCTGGTGCAGCAGTATTATCTGACACAGGATAAAGAGCTGGGACACCAAATGTGTTCGTTCTAAACTAGGTATTACTGAGATGTAATTTCTTTACAAAACATCTTAGTATCTGTGTGATTTTTTTCAATATTTAACTTGATTTCACCTAACTGATATTTGTCTTTCAATCAAACACCTCTATTTTCAGGTGAACACAGCGAGTAGGTAAAATATCAGTTTCATGAAAATGCTTGTGTTAGATCATCTCTGGTGGTTCACAACCAGAAATTTAATACACAAACTCACTTCTTCAATAAATACATGAAGTAGCAGACTGGCACCCAAAAAGAGATGTCCTTCCAATGTAAATTATTTGTAAGCGACTCTAAAACTAGCCCTGACTTATCCTCTTTTATCCCATTCATAGTTTCAATTACCACTGCATATTGAAAAAAATCTAACACATCTCCTTGGTTTTCCTGAAAATTGGTGTGTTTCATAATTTTAAATTACCACATATTTTAAAAGGAACAAGATCAAAGGTCTGAACCCTGATAGGTGCTGAGCACTTGGCACTAACAAAATTAAGCACAAAGCACTTTATACACATGAGCAATTCTATCAAAGTCAACTCGTACAATTAAACCTCAGCCTGTGTTTGTGTGACATGGAACTGAGCCAGAGGATTCAAAATCTTGCTGGATCAAAGCTTTTGTTCTGCATCTTTTTTTGTTTGTTTTTAATCAGATCTCTTCTTAATGGGTACATACTGATTGGAATCCTGGTTTAAAGAAGCACGTCTGATTTGGTTTGAATAATCAAATCCCCAGTCACCACAAAAATCTTTGCTAGAGTGTTAGTCTTAGAACAAAAGGAGAATGTTAAAAACTCAAAAACGGGAAAGCAATTTTGCACATCCTTGGTCAGCATTACTGCAATTTGTGTTAGTACCTACAGAAACCTCCCTTCTTTTCTGAGATTCCACCATTTCAGCTCTTGCATTTCTAGGATCTTGATGATGTATCAACGTAGTTATTTTCACAAATAAACTTCACAAAACATTTCAAATTCATTCTCCATTTATTTATTACCCTTTCAAGATCTTTTTCATGTATCACAACAATATTAACAACCGGATCTCTAGGCTGGCTTTTTGCCAGTTCCCTAGTAAGTGCTTAGAGGAATCGCACACTATCCTCCTTGTTCTAAGGAAAGAGGTGGGAGTTGCAGAGAAGAAAATCGATGTCCAGTTTGCAGGCAGAAACTAGGGAGTGTGTGAAGTGCAGCCTGACCAACCAGGGGCAGAAGCCTACGGGACTGAGAAACAAACTCTGTATTGAAACCAAAGTAACTGTAAATAACATATGGATCACATGCAGCAGTGTACACCTGACTTGCCCAGAAATACCAGCTCAGGGAAGGGTGGTAGGAAGGCTGAAGAGTGGTAGAAAATCCATCTTTTCCCAGAACGCTTATCTGGCAAGGAGTAGAAGCACATGAGTAAACGAGACTAATGTTTCAGTCATCTCAGAAATGCATTGAACCTGCATAACTTTAAATTAACTTACTTCTGTTCAGAATATAGAGATAATTCTTGACAAGAGTTTGTTGAAGTGGGACATCAATAAGGATCATTTTTACAACACTCTTCGAATCCTACTTGTAACATACCAAAGATACCAAAGATGAGATGTAATTAATTTTGGTTTGTGTTGTCGTTTGGATTTTTTTTTTTTAAATAAAAAAGCAGACTATCATCTCCTTTGTAAAGCATCATCTCCATTCAAGTGGGACTTGCACCACTCATTTCGGGAACTCGGATGATAACCTAATAATGCTTTCCATTTTTTAAAAGTTTCACATAGGGAACGAACAATACATACCATCTCTCCCGCATAATAACCTTTCTTTGTAAGATTTTGGCCAAAAAAGTGTGATGGAACATATGCAAAAAAAAATTTAAATCTGAATTATATTCTCAAATTTTTATAAAACTTTGATTTCTCTGTAAAGTAATATAGCAGCTCTCTCAAATCTTGACAGAATACACTTAAGTGGCAGAGAAAACACCAGGACTCCATGCACAGGGCTAATAAAAATTGTAACAGTGCTATTTTAAAAGAAAAACTGTTTCAAAGAATCAAGTGTAATTAAACCATGGTACCATCTGCTAGATATTCAAAAATACAGACTTTTCATAGGAAGAAGCCATGAATCAGAAAGAACGAGTCAGTGTATATACAATTATAGGGCTTCTGGTGGAGTTTAGCCAATTTGTTAAGTCCTGCACTTTCCTGGAGGGCAAGCTGTTGTCTGGGCCTTGCACAACATCCTTTGAACACCATTCCATCTACTCCAGCATTTCAGGGAACGTCCCATACATCAGTCACACATCTCTCATAAATTTAGGAAAGACAGAAAACTGAAACAGAAGAGAAAAAAGTACGAACACATGGAAATCCCATCATTTGGTTAGAAAAGCTGTAACTTTCACACACCTGCACAATCCTGGATTAAAGACCTGGTTGTGAGTACCACTGACACCTTCCCATAGAACCATAACCACATTTCACCTCTACTTACCTTCCCTGCCAAAATAAATACGCTCAAAGCTAAACACTCACCTAAACAAAACTGAAATAAAGGAGGGAACCAGAAAATGTACAAAGACAGACAATGCCCTGGCTCTGGAGGGAGGATAGGGGGCACCTGTTAATTCCGAAAATGATTACAAATGAAGAAGTTTTGTATCAGATCTGGAGCACTGGACATGGAGGGGAAGATCAGAACCACAGTGTACGCAGAGTCCCCGGTACTGATGTGGACTGCAAAGCCAATGTCTTTTTTCCGCCAGGGACAAGCACATCGAAGCCCTGACGCTATGAGGACTTGGGGAGAAGGGAACAAGAAGTCACTTTTTGGGATACAAAGGCTGCTGGCGGTTTTCATGCTTTACGAACACAAACAGGTCTTCCCAGTTACACTAGTAAAACATTTTTCCATGCTAACTTGTTTCGGCAACTGGGAGAAAAAAGCAACTCATAAGATATACAGGGCAAATAGCTCCGTTAACAGTTTGCTGGTCATCTTTCTACCTTGACCAAAATGACCTCTGCACGCTACGATTTCACCATCAAATAAAACCACACTAAGCAGGTGGACACTCAAGATCGATGGGATCATTAATAACCTCCCACCTCCCCTTCTTTACTACTACGAGAAGCTAGCTCACAGTAACCTGTACAAAATTGATGTGTATTAGCTACTGGCACCCTGCACAAAGAATAGACAAGCAAATACAAGATCACTTCCACCACCTTCAGCTCTCTCCAGTGTCAGTACTGCAGGGAGCCATACTAGAGGCACACACAAAGGCAAAAGCATCCACATAGACACCGGTGAGGAGTTACTACGTGGGCAATTTACCACTTAGCCTGCCATGCACTTAATTCCTTTCACAGACAAGCCCTTACACATAAATTTGCTTAAAACCAGTTGGTTGCACCCCTTACGAAAGGCACAAGAGTACCCAATAGATGAGTGACCACATTTCTAACATCTTTAATATTCTCCTCCATTTTTGTGTGCAAGTCTGAAGTCCCATGAGCAACCTGAGGCACAAACACTTTGGCTTCTAGATTAGTTTCAACCAAAGAGAAGTTCCTCATCTGTTTCATTAAACAGCTAGCGAAACACTTTGGAAAAGAAAGGGCATAGTACCTCCTTCAGCACCAGCACTGGTTTATGATAACATAAATATTCTTCTCTAGGAACTAACTTGTTTCTTACCTCAACTCTTAGTATAAGGAAAATGGGAGATCCCTATAGTTGGGATATGTTACTAAGAAGTCTATAGATCACACAGAAAAATGATAGTCTTGGTACGAACTTGTCATGGTAAATAAATAGGAGGACAAAACCTCTAATATGAACCAGGCAAGAAATTATAGTGAACCTCTGACAAATCACTGTGATGATAATGAGCCCCATATTCATGC